GGTTTACAGAGGGGGGGGGGTGTTTTTACAGGAAGGCTGGTTGTTTGTTGTGTTGGAGGCAGGTTCTGTTGGACCGGTTCTGTCACTTTCATAGAAGAAGGGCAGAGGAGCAGGTTAGTCATGTTCCACAGTGAAGTCACTGCTGGTCTGTAAAACACCTCCTCCTCAGTCACACCTTTCCTCCTGGAGGAGCTCGCTGCCGTTTGTTTCAGCTGAAGCACCTCCCTGCCCTCTGAGAGGACGCTCGCTGTTCAAGGTTCAGGAAGATAAGCGAGGTGAGCGGCTGACACACAGCTTGTGTTGTGTTACCAGAGGATCAGGTTACTCACAACAGGTCGACTGAAACCAGAACCTCGCTCCGATCGCCGACTCCAAACCAGGAACTGGGTGTCAGACGGCTTCTAAAGAACCCTGAGAGTCTACTTCCTGTATCTGAACAGACCCCAGCATGGCTGRGTGGGCCTGCTGCCTGCCGCTGCTCCTCTGTGTGTCTGCTCTTCACGGCTGCGCTGCCATGGTGTTCTGGACGGCGGTGGTGGAGACGAGCTACACGGGCAGCAGCAACGACACGGTGGATCAGATCTGTGAGTGTGGCCTGTACGGACGCAGCTCRCCTGTGGAGAAAGCCTCGGGCGTGCTTGCGGTCCCTAAAGGAGACCCTAAAGGCTGCGACCCAGAGTCGGACTACGGTCGCAACTCCAGCTCGGTGCCGTGGATCGCCCTGGTGAAACGAGGCAACTGCACCTTCAGCCAGAAGATCAACGCGGCGCGGCTGCGAGGGGCGGCCGCCGTGCTGGTGTACAACGTGGACGGTACCGAGAACAGCACCACGCAGATGTCCCACTCAGAGGCGGGGGGCATCGTGGCCGTCATGATCGGCAACCTCCGGGGCGAGGAGCTGGCCCGGCTGGTGAGGAACGGGACCGAAGTCCAGCTCATCATCGACGTGGGCAGCGCTCACGGGCCCTGGCTGGACACCTACTGGCTCTACTTCCTGTCCATCGCCTTCTTCATCGTGACCGCCGCCTCCGTCGCCTACTTCGTCTTCATCTCGGCCAACCGCCTGTACAGCCTGGGCCGGCACCGCCGCGCCGAGAAGAGGCTGAAGTCCGAGGCCAAGAAGGCCATGCGGCGCCTGCAGGTGCTGACGCTGAAGCGAGGGGACGAGGTCACCACGTCGGACGCGCTGTGCGCCGTCTGCATCGAGTCGTACCGGGCGGGCGACGTGGTGACGGTCCTGACCTGCGAGCACATCTTCCACCGGGGCTGCATCGAGCCCTGGCTGCTGGAGCGCAGGACCTGCCCCATGTGCAAGTGTGACATCCTGAAGGCGCTGGGGGTCCAGGACGACACCAAGGACGTGTCCTCTCCGCCGGAGGTCAACGTCATCACGGTGGCGGGGGGGGACACCATGTACGAGGTGCCTCTGAACGCCCCCGACCAGCACCGCTACGACAACAGGGCCTTCGAGGTGGAGCCGGAGGCCTCCAGAGGCTGAAGCACACGAGGAATCACTTCAAATCAGAAACTTTCAATCAAATTAACTCTTTATTCCCTGAGCTGATCTCAGCTGATCCACCACCTGAACCCAGCGGGTCGGCCTCGGCCCGACGGCACATTTCTGTTTTGCATCGTCAGCGCAGCACACTGACTTTATGGACTCAAAGGGCAGCAGAGGATTTGAATATCACTTTGTTTATTGGGGCCAAATCTGTTCCTGAAGCCTCCGTGGTGCTCAGACCCAACCAGCTGCTTTACTTTATCCACGATTAGTTGTAACATTAGACTTTATTTAATAAACTTATTTTAACTGTAAAATAAAGACTGTAAAAATACTGTAGTTTAGTTTTTACGATTTTTAGAAATATATTTTAGCACGGACAGAGCCATTTTATTTACACACAAAGCATTCTGGGTAAATGATGACGTGGATAGGTCCTCGGTGCGAGGCTGCTAGCGAGCTATATCCACCCTGAAGGTTAATCTTGGACAATATCTGATGATCGACTCTTTTAAATGAAACCAGAGAGCGTTGACAGAGAGGAGAAGGTAGAAATGACTCAGCCTGTAACTGAAAATATGGATGGAGGACAACAGAGCTGCTTCATGGAAGAACAACCTCAGATTAGCCTGTTAGCTTTAGCGTTAGCCCCGATGCTATATTTCCTTATATGTATTAGCTCAGTGCTAGCGCTACAAGCTAAACTGAGGTCCTCCATCCGTATTTTCAGTTATAAAAACTAAGCCTACAGTATTTTTACAGTCTTTTTTTACAGTTAAATTATAAGTTTATCAAATAAAGTCTAATGTTACAACTAATCCCTTTAAACAAAGTCAAGTCTGTCGTTTGATTTAATTAAATTCAGTTTGATTCCTGCTGTGAAACTGAAGTGGCCTTTTGTTATTGTCAGGTAGGATCTGCAGCCACGCCCTGAGCAGCACACCTGACAGGATGACGCACGCTGGAACTAATAAAATCACCTGAAGGAACATTTGATGAAGAAACGCTGAAACGGGAACTTCCCACACCTGTAGAACAAAGCAGAACAGTTTTAATTTTATAAAGTTATTTTTGTTAACGATGCATCCTGRTGGTCTGAAAAGCTGATTTCCTCTCGGTGAACACGTCTTCCTGCATTTTATTTTAATTTAGTAAAGAATGAAGTTTATTTATATCTTTACTTTCTGAAGCTTCTTTTAAGATTTTAAAGATGATTTCTTGTGAGAAAAGTGAAGAATTAGTTCATTTCTTTGGAAACCACAGGGGATTCTGATGATGGTACTTTTGTTTTTCTTGTTTGCAGTTTTTATAGATTCAAGAATTGAYTTGTTAAAAACAAATCTTGACTTGTTGTTAAATCACATTGATGCTTTTAGAGTTGAATAAATCCCTCAAAATGAGGTCCTCTCTTCAACATGACTCAGACTGGTTTTATAGATCCAAAGAAGCAGTGGAACAGTTTGAACAGTTAATATCTTACCTGCTGCACTCGACTCTGAATCACCTCCGTTTGGAGAAATTTAGAATATTTCTGACTAAATGATTGAGCTGAAACTTTAAGTAGGACAGAGGTTTGTTTGGACTGAAGTTATCATAACAACAATATTATTTTGTATTCCAACAGGAAGTGCCCCAGTCTGTGCAGGAAGTGCTACAAATCATGTGCAGCTTGCGTTATATAATCACATGCTTTCTGTTTATGACTCAGTTCACTTTAAAAACATGATTCATCTTTAAAAGATGAACATTTCCTCTAAAATCAGCAGACAAGTTGCTTATTTRGCAACAATATTCTGTAAAAAAGTTTTCAGTCTATAAATATAAACATACAGGGTGAGTCAAAAGTCACAGGACAGCCTTTTACGTTGGAAAGAAAAAGGAAAATGATGCACCTGAATACCTCAGCAGGTAATCAGGACTTATCTTTGGAAAAACTTGCCTTTGATCCAAAATGGTGGTTTTCAAGATGGAAGCTGTTCTGGATTTAAAAGCTGGTTCCGCTTCACCTATTACCTGCTGAGGTGTTCAGGTATGCCATTGTTTACTTTTTGTTTTTGAATTAAAAAGTATCCTGTGACCTTTGACTAAGCCTAAAAAACTCAAAATGGAAATACAATCAGGAAGTGGAAGAGAAACTTGTTAATGAGGTTCTCAGACCAGGTCCTGGTGGAGCTCTGAGAGGTCCAGAGAACAGAACTTTACAGAGGAAATGATCATATTTAGGGTTAAAAACCCAGAATGTCCCAGATGTGCTGTTTGCAGTGAGTCAGACATTTGGTCGCTGCAGGCTCCTGTAGCTTCCTGCAGCTCCTACCTGAGAACATTAGCTACACAATGTCTGCTAACGCTAGGCTAAATGTGCACTAACTGCAAGTGTTTGTTAATGCTAGACTGAATGTGCGCTAACTGCTAGTGTCTGCTAACGCTAGGCTAAATGTGTGCTAACTGCAAGTGTTTGCTAATGCTAGACTGAATGTGCGCTAACTGCTAGTNGTGCGCTAACTGCTAGTGTCTGCTAACGCTAGGCTAAATGTGTGCTAACTGCAAGTGTTTGCTAATGCTAGACTGAATGTGCGCTAACTGCTAGTTTCTGCTAACGCTAGGCTAAATGTGCGCTAACTGCTAGTTTCTGCTAACGCTAGGCTAAATGTGCGCTAACTGCTAGTTTCTGCTAACGCTAGGCTAAATGTGCGCTAACTGCCAATGTCTGCTAATGCTAGGCTAAATGTGCACTAACTGCAAGTGTCTGCTAATGCTAGGGTAAATGTGCGCTAACTAATTGTCTGTTAATGCTAGGCTAAATGTGCGCTAATTGCAAGTGTCTGCTAATGCTAGGCTAAATGTGCGCTAACTGCAAGTGTCTGCTAATGCTAGGCTAAATGTGCACTAACTGCAAGTGTCTGCTAATGCTAGGGTAAATGTGCGCTAACTAATTGTCTGTTAATGCTAGGCTAAATGTGCGCTAACTGCAAGTGTCTACTAATGCTAGGCTAAATGTGCGCTAACTGCCAGTGTCTGCTAATGCTAGGCTAAATGTGCACTAACTGCCAGTGTCTGCTAACGCTAGGCTAAATGTGCGCTACTGCAAGTGTCAACGCTAGGCTAAATGTGCTCTAACTGCAAGTGTCTGCTAACGCTAGGCTAAATGTGCGCTAACTGCAAGTGTCTACTAATGCTAGGCTAAATGTGTGCTAACTGTAAGTGTCTGCTAATGCTAGGCTAAATGTGTGCTAACTAAGTGTCTGTTAATGCTAGGCTAAATGTGCG